GCGCCGGCTAGCAGGTGGCTTTATTTACTTTCGGAATTCAACGATAATCGTGTACTTTCTACCGAGCGCTATTATGCGTAACCTTTCTGCATATTTTTTGCAAGTCTAACGCCGAATATGGCTGAGTCGTTTTATGCAGATTCAATTTTTCTCGTTCTAACAGAAAATATGCGATTCAGGAAGACCTCCAAATGGCTGGCAGGACTAGCTGAAAAATTCACTATGATGAAACAGCAAGAAACAGAAATCCATGGCAAGTCTTTCTGCAGGCAGTGGACCGACAGAGGCGCATGACGATATCCATTTTTGGGGATTTGCGATGCCACGTCAGATTTTAATTGTTACTCTGCACCTGCTATCCATCCAGACTTTCTTCAGGTTTGGATTACAACATAGAAAATAGCTGTATTTCAGTATTATGAATTCTACTGTGGGATGAGTTCTATCAGGCTTCCAACGACGGTCAGCTAAAGATTTTACAAGGTTTGTTACTGTAGTGTCAGCAACAGCAAATTTATTACATAAGGTCCAACATAATGAATATTTCCTTTCAGCTCGACATCATCCACTACGAGAGTCTCAGCGGCAACACACTGCGAAGTGATATTTTCGTTTTTCAAGGCAAGGAATCGTAGCTCACTGTTTATGTGCCTGTAACTGAAATGTGTTTCTAGTTGAGAAATCGTTTATCATAACAATCGTCCGAGGGTAAGATTCCACATGGCCTTCATTTCTAATAAACGCGGGGCGGTATTACGAGCGTGTATGAAGCACAGCGATTGACTGTTCACTGAATAGTCACCCTTGAACAAATTATGCATACATGAAACCGATCTCAGACGGATTACAGAATGGATTAGAGGCGTGGAGTCATAATCTTTAGAATGTAAACTAAATGATTTTATTGATTTCGAAATGGCTGGTTGAATGCGTATTCATTGCATACTGTCTTCCACATACATAAAATGTGTTTAATAGATGTTCTCCGAAATGCTTGAAACTTACACTTAGCTAATCGCTCTGCTGTTTGCTCTTAATATTTTTTAATACTTCTTTTATGCCTGGTAATAAGGCAATGATGATTAGCGCAGCATCTTGGTAGGCATGATCGATGCTACTTCGTTAGCTTCAGATTTTTTAAATGTAAACGGAAAGTCAACATGTTCATGATTGAAGGGCTACTTCTTTTTTTCTTGAGAAGAGCTTCTGTCAATTTTCTCAGTCTTGACTTTTGAAAGAGGAATTCACAATATCAAGCTTGTTGCAAAATAGGGATTCTGGTCATTCATTCCGTCTGGAATGAAAAAATACATTTAAATGTTACTGTGTCTGTCCTTGTACTGTTCATTGAAAGAGCATCAGCATAACTGTTAATTTTCAGAATCACGTCTTACACAGGAC